GTAATTCTCGAGGGGCTAGGGCCTTGGAGAAATTACGAGAGGGACTCCAGAAGAAGCAGAAAATTGTGGAGATCATACCGGTACCGGAGAACTTGGGGACCAAATTAAGGAGTGTGGAAAGAAGCCGACCTTTCCACGGAGTCAACGTCCTCTCCCGACACCAGCCCACAACGACTACCCGTTCCCCAGGGAAGACGTCCGTGGAGCTGAAGCGGCTCAAAAGGAAGCTGGGGGTCTACAAGAAGCTGCAAAAACCCCGAACTCCTTCTTCGGATGCATCCAACTCGGCAACTTCGTCAACGACACGAACAGTCGTCACAGAAACTCCGGGCCCTGGAGAAGAGCCTTTCTCCAAGCAGCCTCGGCCAGCTGCCAGCTCAGGAGTAGGAAGCAACGAATATTGGGATGTACCCTATGACCCAATCAATGAAACTATCTTTGGGTACTCCGAGCAACGCCTGCCCCTCGTGCTCGAGGTCATCTGCAAAGGACGACGCCTCCAAGCACTCGTGGACAGCGGAGCATCGCACGCTGTATGCGACAAGGCAACCATCGACCGACTTCGAGAAGAGTACAAGCCATCAGCATTTTCTGCAACGATGGCGGACGGCAGCAATTTACCAGTATACGGAGAAGCAGTGCTACACCTACAAATCGGGCCACTGCGCTGGAAACCTGCACTCCCCATCACAAACATCAAAGGGCTTGACCTTATCTTCGGGCGAGACTTCCTAAAACGATTCTACCCCGAGATCAACTGGGTAAACCGCACCGCAAGCATCTACAACAAAGGAAGGAGAGTCCAGCTACCCAACTGGGACGATACAGGAGATATCCCCGTGGAGACACTCGCCAGATTCGAGAAGGACGTCAAGCGAACCAACACCAGATTCCTGGCGATAGCAACAGAGGTGGAAAGCGACGAAGAGAAGACCTTGGAAACTCCAGGAAAAATCAAGGAATTACTGAAGGAGTTCCAAGACATTCTCCCTGACGACCTCCCGGACGAGCTACCGCCATACCGAACGCACCAACATGAGATCATGGAGGAACCAGGTTCGAAACCGACCTTCCGAGCACCATATTGGCTTAGCCCCACAGAGCTAGCCGACATGAAGAAGCAAATCGAGTATCTCCTCGCCAAAGGACTCATCCGACCATCCACTTCACCATACGGTGCCCCAGTACTCTTCACACCGAAACCGGACGGAAGCCTGCGCATGTGCATCGACTACCGAGCTCTCAACAAGCAGACCATCAAGAACAAATACCCGATTCCACGAATCGATGATCTACTCGACCAGCTTCGGGGAGCCACGGTATTTTCAAAACTAGATCTGCGGTCCGGGCACTGGCAGATAAGAATGGCGGGCGATTCCGTTCACAAAATGGCCTTCCGAACTCGGTACGGATCGTACGAGTATCTGGTGATGCCGTTTGGACTCACCAACGCACCTGCAACGTTGCCGCTATCCAAGTTGAAGGGATGAATCCACTCCTCAAGTGACTCTTCACACACGGGTACACCATCGACCCCGAAATTCCCTTGGCAGAAAAGCGACATCTGCTACAGTGGGACAACGACATCGCGTACCGGAAAGGATCAACAAAGATCTGAGTACCTAATTACACTCCATTGCGCCAGTTACTACTCGAAGAATACCACGACGTCCTGTACAGCAGATGAAGAGCAGTAAGCAGAAAAAGGCGGGTCTACTACAGCCCCTTCCTATCCCAGAACAGCCATGGCAAGTGGTTAGCCTAGACTTCATCACCGGGCTACCAACTACCACAAGCGGTCATGACGCGATCCTCGTCGTCATTGACAAGTTCTCCAAAATGGGACACTTCATCCTGACACACACGACAGCATGCACTGAGGAGACGGCACAACTCTTTGTTTGCTACATCATCTCACAACATGGCATTCCGACCACACTCATCTCCTACCGAGACCCTAAGTCCACCAGTAAATTCTGGAAAGAACTTATGTCTCTGCTCGGGACCAAACTCGCCATGTTATCCGCCTACCATCCGCAGACAGATGGACAGACCGAGCGCCTCAACCAAATTGTGGAGCAACTCCTCCGCGCAGCCTGCAAGGACGACATCTCCAAATGGGACTTGCATCTGCCCGTCCTGGAGTTTGCCTACAACAATGCTACTCACGCCGCTACTCGACAGACGTCGTTCTTCCTTCGTTACGGACGCCACCCACTCACACCTCAACAGCCAACCATACCAGCCACAGTCCAACCCGCTCATGATTTCATCACGACTATGCACAAACTTTGGGATCGGACCCACAAGTGCCTTCTCGACATTTAGCAACAACAAAAGCACCAGGCCGATCGCCACCGCACAGACCACACCATCAACGTGGGAGATCGAGTCCTACTCGACATGCGCAATCTTGACATCAGCCATCTCCCATCCAAACTGCGACCTCGCTTCTGCGGGCCTTTTCTCGTTGAAGCACATGTCACTCCTGTTACCTTCCGCTTACGCCTGCCAGCTACCTGGAAGATTTACAATGCCTTCCATGTCCAACTCTTGAAGCCCTACCGAGATCCCAATGCGATCTTCTCTGGACGCCAACCGCCGCCGCCGCCGCCCGTCCTCGTCCATGATGAACCCGAGTACGAGGTCGAGTCCGTGCTTGCTCACCGCCGTCGACGGAATGGCACCGTGGAGCTTCTCATCCGTTGGAAGGGTTATGATCTTTCGGAGGATAGTTGGGTCTCTGAATCCGAGATGCACCACGCTCGTCGTCCTCTTCGCGACTACCTTGTCAAGCAGGGTGTTACGTCTACCACCCAGCTTTGAGGGGGGGAAGTGTGAGAGTACGACCCCGTCCCATTCCTTTTGCTTTCCATATTCCCTTTCCATTCCATTCCTCTTTTTATCCTGATCCATTTGGTTTTTATCTCATTCCATTTGGATTCCTATTTCTCCTTTTCCATAAACCTTTGGTTTATCCCGTTATTCTAATTATATCACCGACCAGGCTCGGGATGTACTGGTGCGCTATATCTAGCGTAATCCTGCCGTAATCCCTTCAAGCCAATAGCCTTGCGTGGCTATACGCAGGGTGATTCTATTTTCTAGAAGGGTCTATTCCCTTGGGATAAGATAAACCTGGTTACCTGATGTACTTTGGAAGTATAAAAGCGCCTTGTACTGATCGATAGTGCAACCTTTCCTCGACACATTTGATCATGTGACAATATCAAAGATCTGAACGCTACGGCGAAACAAACTATGCCAGTTGGGGAGGTCGGGCGACGAGCCGAAGCGCTGACGAAACAGGTCGTCCAGGCGGCGGAAACAGCGGACGGAGGTGTGATCGATCTTACCGCAAACAGAACCACGGCGAGGACCGGTCTGGAGCTGGTACTGACAGCAAGCGTCACCCGACCCGCCACCCGGCACCCCACCACGCGCACGGCCACCACGTCCACCACGTCCACCGCCACCACCAGCGCCAGGTCACCCAGGCGGGAGGCCACTTGCCCGCCTCTGCTGCGGCGGCTGCTGCGGCTGGTGCGAGGGCTGCTGCTGCGGCTGGTGCGTGTCCGGCTGCGACACCTGCGGCTGCTGAGGCGGCTGCTCGGCTGCAGTTGTCAGGGTCCCCTCGTCAGCGCTACCACTAGACGACCCGACTCCACCACCACCTCCACCTGCACCTCCACCCCCACCGCCGTGCCCAGCCTTGGGGCGGCGGCCCTTCCCGGAACGGATCTGCGCTGAAGCTGCGGACTCAGCCACAGGGACAGAACCGTCGGAGAAGGTGCACTGAGCGCAGACGCAACCCTGAAAGATAGGGACCGGCGCAGTACCGTTGATCTGGGCAATAGAGCGCTGACGGGTCTCTATGGCAGTCAGGGTGTCGACAAAGTCAGTGAGAGTGAGGTCACCAGGGTGGGTGCTAAGGAAGTGGTCGTGGGCAGTAGCAAGACGATCAGGGAGGCGGGTGGCAAGCAGGTAGAGGGCAGAGCAGAGGGGCGGCTGAAAGGCTCTAAGCTGGGTCTCAATGCAGGCAGCACGCCAGGTCGCGTCTATCGTGCGCAGGTGAGCGGCTAGGTCAGCGACAGTAGGGAAGGACGCAAGGTCAGGGAAGAGCATCGGTAGGATTAGGCAACCTACAGAGGCAGCAGGCGGGGTGGAATAGCGCTTGACGACGACCTCTAGAAACTCCTGCGCAGTCGTGACTAACTTAAAGCGTGGGGGCTCAGACAGGGGGTGGGCATGACTGATCGCAAGCTGCGCGATAGCGTCATGCGACAGCCAAACTGAGCGGGTAAGGGCAGCAGCTGCAGCGGACTCACGGTCAGCGGACAAGGGATCAGCGGGCAGGGGAGCCGGGGGGTCAGGGCAGGGGAGCGTACCGTCAAGGTGGACCGCCAGGGAGTGGCCGTCCTGCCGCTGACCAGTGAGGTGACGCCGGAGGTCGACCAGCCACGTGTCAAACTGGATCGGCTGTCCCTCTGCGTCGAAGCGTAGCACGGAGTCCGCCATCAAGAGCGATGCAGCAGCGGCGCAGTGCTGTACGGTGCAGTGCGGTGTTGTGCTATGCAGAGTGGTGCAGTGCGGTGCAGTGCTGTGCGGTGCAGAGCAGGGCAATGCGGTGCACAGCGGTACAGCGAGGTGTAGTGCGGTGCTGTGCGGTGTAGAGCGGTGCCTGGCGGTGACGGTCGGGAAGGACGAGCCGGGCACGAGTCGGAGGTGGGCGGCGACGAAACGAACGCGGGGCCGGCGCGGAGTGGGCGTGAAGAGGCCGGCTAGGAGAGGGCGCGGGGCCAACAAGGGGCGGGCGCAAGGGGCCGGTACGGGGCGAGCGTGACGGGGGCGCGAGGGGCCGGCTAGGGACGGGCGTGACGCCTCAGGGGAGGGGCCGGCTAGGGACGGGCGCAACGGCTGGGACGGGCGCGACGGCTGGGACGGGCGCGACGGCGCTTAGAGCCGGCTAGGACGGCCGCGGCGGCTCATGTTGGAGTGGTTCCGCCACCCACAACGGACTACTCGTGACTTGGGGTGACGAGGAGAGAAATGCGGACTTGGGACGAGAAGGTACTAGGAAGCGGGTATTGCGTGAGCGTGAGGTGTACGGAAAGGGGAGAAGAAAGAGAGAAGATTGGTGGAAAGTAAGGAGAATGGTGGTTGAGTGGAAGAAAGGAATGGAAGTGGCGAGAAACAGATTGACGTGGGGCAAAAGTTGGTTTTCGGACGGGGCGTGTTCAACAAGCATTCGGACTTCGGACCGACGGCGTGTTCAGCAAGAAAGTCGCGATTGCGTGTGCGACTCGGCATGACACGAAGTGCGCAAGTTACTCGCAGCGCACACGGCAGTTACGAAGCGCGAAATTGCTTGTACTTCCACTATAAATCTGTTTGAACATTTGTTCTTTGTATCTCATTGGAACTAGTGGAATGCTTGTGTGTATTGACAACTTGCAACCACTTTGAGATCAGATTATGAGGCAAGGCCCTTGAGGCTATTTGCACAAGTATTTCTAAATACTTTTCGCTGCGCCGGAGGCGATAGTCGCCTAGAGCTCAGGGGGGGGGCCGGCTAGGACGAGCGCGAACGGCGCAGGGGGCCGGCTACGGACAGGCACGACGGCTCAGGGGGCCGGCTAGGACGGGCGCGACGGCTCAGGGGGCCGGCTAGGGCGGGCGCGACGGCTCAGGGGGCCGGCTAGGAGGGGCGCGAACGGCTCAGGGGGCCGGCTAGGATGGGTACTAACGGCGCAGGGGGCCGGCTAGGAACAGGCGCGACGGCTCAGGGGGCCGGCTAGGACAAGCGCGAACGGCTCAGGGGGCCGGCTAGGACGGTCGCGAATGGATCAGGGGGCCGGCTAGGACGGGCGCGAACGGCTTAGGGGGCCGGCTAGGACGGGCGCGACGGCTCAGGGGGCCGGCTAGGACGGGCGCGAACGGCGCAGGGGGCCGGCTAGAAGCAGGCGCGGCGGGCTAGGGGCGGCGCGACGAGGGCCTAGGGCGGAAGCATGGGCGGCGGGACCTACCTACCAAGCGTGATACCATCTTAACGTAGGATTGAATGTCGAGAGAAAAAAACGTCCAAGGGTATAAGCCTAAGTGTTGTACCGTCTAAGATACGAACCTATACAGTCTATACAAACATAAACTATATATATGTCTGACAAGTTATGCATGTGTCATCATGGGATTGGTCATTGTGTCCCACTTGCAATGGCTGGGGTTTACTGGTTTGTGCATATCAGGTGCAAGCAATGCCCCGCACCGCAATGGGCTGCTCTCAACAGCAACAAGCCGTGTGCAACACCAAGGCAGCTGAGGATGCTGGTGCCCTAGGGCCCTATACTACCGCTGTACATGTGCCATATGATGATTGATGGAGCTATTTGATTTTGCATTTCAACTATCCATACATCAAAGCAGGCTGTACAAATAAGAGCAATCAAAGAAGCACCAGCCGCCATGCGCTCTGAACTCCGCCCTCACAGCGCTGGGCACGAAGTTCGGCACGTCTTCTCCTCGGCTGCGCTCCTATCTCCTCTCTAAGCGCCGGGCACGAAGTTCTGAGCGTAGGCCCAGGCGTTGTTGGCGGCGGGGTCGGCGAGGTGGTCCGTGAGGTTCTCGAGGGGCCCCTTGCCGGTGACAATGGCCTGCACGAAGAAGCCCAGCACCGCCACCTGCGCCAGCCGCCCGTTCTTCAGCTCCTTCACCTTCAGCTCCGCAAACGCGTCGGGGTCGTCCGCCAGCCCCAGCGGGTCGAACGCTCCGCCCGGGTAGATCGGGTCGTCCACCTCCTGGAATCCCTCCAGCCCGCCCACGCGGTAGCTCTCCACCAGCCCCAGCAGAACCACCTGCACCATGCCGTCGAGTTACCACGTTACAAACGCAGAAGAACGCGTCAAGAAGTGCATTACCGATCTGACGGCATTACAAAATTAGCAACCGGATCTCAAAGAGAAACAGAAGCAGAATGACGCGGTGCTACGGCGAACTGAGTTTTGCGAACGAGTTTTGCGTGTTTTGGGTGGCGAACGAGTTTTGCGAACGAGCCGGAATACATATTTGGAATGGAGTAAGCGGCTCTAATTCAACGCACCTGGACGGCGAGCGTGGCGAGGATGGTGAGCGCGTATTGCTGGTACTCAGATGGAAGGGCTGGGAGGGGAGCAACTGACCTGGACGGCGAGCGTGGCGAGGATGCTCTGCGCGTGGATGAGGCTGGGGTTGCCCAGGTAGTTGAGCCCGCCCTCGCTGAAGATCTGCGCGCCCGCCTTGAACCACACAGCCTCGCCCAGCGGCACGCCGTTGCGCGCCAGAAACTCGGGGAACACGATGCCAAGCGCGCCGAGCAGCGCCCAGCGCGAGTGAATCACCTCCAGCTCGCGGTTCTTAACGAACGTCTCGGGGTCAGCCGACAGGCCAGCCGTGTCCCACCCGTAGTCGCCGGGGAACTCGCCTTTCAGGTACGAAGGAGGCGAGGAGAAGGGGCCCAGGAACAGGCTGCGATCGGGGCCGTACCACTGGCTCAGGCTGTCCGCGGGCTTCACGGTCTTGCGCATCGTCACGCGGCTCTCCACGTTGTTCACCTTCGCCGCGAGCTCGGCGCTCGACGCGACGAAGAAGGAAGCGGCGGAAGCCGCGGTGGCGGAGGAAAGAGCAGCCATGGTGGCGGGAGCTTGGGGATCAAGCTGAGTAGAGTGGGCTGGCTGCTGAAGATAGGCTCGGGAGAGCTGGGAACTTGCTGGACGATTGATGGAACTTCAGTTGGCGCAATTTATGGGCGACAGATCGATGCACGGAATTTGCCAAGGCTGAAGTTTGGCTGTGTGAAATCGAGTCGCGGTTTCACACAGGGAAGCTGTTGGGTACGAAAATTGAGTGGGCGAGATTGTTCGCGAAGATCTCCTTAGGCCCACAAATGTATGCCTCGGCGACAGCTGGGATTCGCGAATTGTTAGTTTCGCGAATGCTTCGAATTGAGACTGCTGGTCTCTGGTATCCAGCGAATTTGGTCCCGGCCAAACAAGGTTGTCCAGGTTGAGTTTGTGCTTCACTACAAAGTTTCTCGATTCTAGTAAAGCTGATTAGGTGGTATAGCCTTTGGTGTGTGTAACATGCCTGGTAACTAGGTTCTGTTTTTAGGCTGATCTAGAGCTTTCCATACTTCCATTGCGGTGCTGAAATTAATCACCACGCGCGAGAATAGGTGGTCCAAGTGGGGCGTGGTCAGAGTAGGACCGGCCTTAGTTTCGGCCGGGTTCAGATCAGTAGTGACAATTCCATCTCGTTGCACTTCGCATTAGGGTTCGAGTTCGACTCCGCTTTTCGTCAGCGTCGCATATGTCAGCCCTCAATTTTCCACATCGATCTTTTTCCACTGCCAGTTCGTCACCCCCTATGGCGGATCTTGAGAGTTACGGGCCTTGCGCGTATCGAGCGAGTAAGCCTTCTCGCACTCGCGGCCTGGGATAACACGACCTTGGGAACGTTAGGCGTATAAATCGGGCAGGAACTTGCTCGACGGGCAGCCGAAATTATCCTCGCAATGATCTAAGCAGGGAAGATTGACGGATATGGATTCTGCTCGGGCAGCCAGGAGCAGGGAGAAACGATCGGCGAGGAGACACGTTTCGCGATGATGGCGGGCAGCAGATATTTCGCTCGGAGTCCCAAGCGCAAGTTTAAGGTATCCAGGTTATTCGGAAACGAGATCGAGGTGTGAAGGGAGGGTGGGTTGCGAGAGGGATGGGGGTAGTAGAGTGGAATGTAGACATGTGTAATGTAGAAATCACATGCAGGAAAGGATAACGATCAAGAGATCGCCATTCTGGTAACTGAACTGATGGCACCAGAACACGCTGCATGAACCCGTCATTCTGCCTGTAGACCGATCTCCCCTCTACCCTCATTTTCCCTCCCTAGAACCTCTGGTCGTCCTCCTGTAAAGCCATAATCGTCCTCATGGTTGTCATGCGCTCTGCTTAGGTACCTTTCCTTTATCTGCCTCTCATCTGCCCCTCATTCCCCTGCCTCTCATTCCCCTGCCCTTCCCTGCATCCCATTTCTTTGCCTCTCATTGCTCCGCGTCTCATTCGCTCCCTCTCATGCCTCTGCCGCTTCTGACTTGTCCTCTCTCCCTCTCATTCCCACACACATTCTTCGTTCCTTCCCTGCCTCCCCGTGTCTCCCTCCCTCTCTCCCTCTCTCCCCCTCTCCATCCTCCTGCCTCCTCCTCTTAGGCCTGCTGTGTCTGCACAGGGATGCACTGGCTAGCAGGAAAGGCAAACCATGCTGGAGCTAAGGCAACCAGCGGAGTCGCTGGCTCACCCCAAGGGCTTCCTCGTCTCTTCTTCAAACCGTGGGGCTTGAGAGGTTTTCACGCTGAAATTCTCTCGAGATGATAGTTGATGGAGAATCCAGTCACAACGAGCACTGTCAGCGCCCGCAGGCCGGGCACAGGAGCTGCAGGAGCAGTGGCGGCTTCAGCAACAGAGGAAGAGTGCAACAGCAGCTTCGGCAGCAGCAGCATGATGGTATGGCGAGTGTGGTGCATTCGAAGGCAGTCAGACAAGTATGGGCTGAAGAAACTTTGCGCTCTGCTTGCTCATTAAACGTTTTCTCTTGACCGGGTTCCTTATGGGCTGATTTTCTCTGCCCCTTGGTTTTGCAGAGTCGTTGCTATCTGCACGATTGCTGTTCGTCATTCGTCTGTTTTGTTCTTCCTTCCTTCCTTCCCTCCCGTCCCCTCCTCTCCACTCTTCTCTTCCGTTTCTCCCTCACTGCCACTATGGACTCTGCTGGGTTGTCAGCTAGAAATTCCGTGCGCATGTGTGGTGTGTGGGCATGTGTGCATGCACGCGTGGCCTCTTAATGTTGGTTCATCCATACTTTTGTGTTGATCTCTCAACGTTATCGAACGCACTGGTGTGCCAACCACTGCTACTGCATGCCTTTCGTGAGGCTTCTCTCCATGCCCTGCCATTCTCAGGAATGCACAGATGCGCATCCTTATACTGTTATCTCCCGGCATGGCATGAGGACCAGCAATACAGTGTGATGCGCATCCTTATACCTGCTTGCTGCACCCGAAATCTTCCCACTACCACTGCCACTGGTTGCCCCTCCTCCTCTCCTCTTGCTCTTAGTATTCCTTCATTCCTGGGAATGAGTGCAGGAGCAGCGTCAGCAGAGATGGGGACAGGTGGATGGATATGTGGGCATGAATGGATGGTGCATGCTCGTGGTGGGGTTACAGATGCTGCTTTACTCGCTATGATAGTCGCCTTTCAATCTGCTGTGGTAGTTATGCATGTGTTGGGATTGGTCATTGTGCCCCACT